CCAGCCTGGGCAACAATGCGAGACCCTGTCTCTATTAATAAACAAAAACACACACAAAATTTGCTGGGAATGGTAGAGGGAGGGGAGAGATAGGGCGAGATTTGTTAAAGGATACAAAATTACAGTGAGATAGGAGGATTAAGTTCTAGTGTTCTATACCACTACAGAATGACTACGGTTAACAATAATATATTACACAAGTCGGGCATGGTGGCTCATGCCTCTAATCCACTTTGGGAAGCCAAGGCGGGCAGATCACTTGAGTTCAGGAGTTCAACACCAGCCTGGCCAACATGGTGAAACCCCATCTCTACTAAAAACACGAAAATTAGCTGGGCTTGGTGGCACACACCTGTAGCCCCAGCTACTTGGGAGGATGTGGCAGGAGGATTGCTTAAGCCCAGGAAGCGGAGGCTGTAGTGACCCAAGAGCATACCACTGCCCTTCAGCCTGGGCAACGGGAGAGAAACCCTGTCTCAAAAAAACAATAATATATGATACAGCTGAAAATAGCTAGGAGAACATTCAATGTTCCTAACGCAAATGCTAAATGTTTGAGATGATGGATATACTAATTGTCTTCAACTGATCACTATACTTTTTATGTACTGAAACATCACTACGTACCCCATGAATATGTAAAAATTACTTATCAACTAAAACTTTTTTAAACAAAATTTTTAGGCCAGGCACGTAGGCTCACTCCTGTAATTGCAGCACTTAGGGAGGCCCAGGCAGGCAGATCGCCTGAGGTCAGGAGTTCGAGACAAGCCTGGCCAACATGGCAAAATCCCATCTCTACTAAAAATACAAAACTCAGCTGGGCAGGTGCCTGTAGTCTCAGTTACTCAGGAGGCTGAGGCAGAAGAATCACTTGAACCCGGGAGGTGGAGGCTGCAGCGAGCCGACACTGCACTCCAGCCTGGGTGAGAGCTAGACTCCATGTCAAAAAAAAAAAAATTATTACACTCTTGCTTGTCCAGGTAGCCTTCTCTAAGGGTGATCAGTGTAAATTTCACAAGAAATAGGGCTTTTGGTTTGTTTATTAAGGAAAGCTGTCTTCACCAGGCGCGGCGGCTCATGCCTGTTAATCCTAGCATTTTGGGAGGCCAACACGGGTGGATCACAAGGTCAGGAGTTCAAGACCAGCCTGGCCAATATGGTGAAACCCCATTTCTACTCAATACAAAAATTAGCTGGGCATGGTGACTTGTGCCTGTAATCCCAGCCACTTGGGAGGCCGAGGCAGGAGAACTGCTGAACCCAGGGAGACTGAGCCGAAACCATGCCACTGCACTCCAGACTGGGTGACAGAACGAGATTCTGTCTCAAAAAAAAAAAAAAAAAAAAAACAGCAGTCTTACTATGTTGTCTAGGCTGGTCTCGAACTCCCAGCCTCAAACAATCCTCCTGCCTCAGCCTCCTGCCTAGTGGGATTACAGGGGCGCATCACCACATCTGTTTTGTGAGGTTGGTTTAACACTAATTACGTATTTTTCAACATAACCTGGAAACACACCACCCAAAAATATGCACAATTTTATTGCTTCTCTTAGCTGGCTAAACTGTTACAGGGTGTTATATTTAAAGACAAATTCTGAGCACATTTTGGGAGGACTGTAACTGTGAATTTTTTTTTTTTTTTTTTTGAGATTGAGTCTTGCTCTGTCGCCCAGGCTGGAGTGCAGTGGCACGATCGCGGCTCACTGCAACCTCTGCCTACTGGGATTCAAGCAATTCTCCAGCCTCAGCCTCCCAAGCAACTGGGACTACAGGCGCCTACCACCACACGCAGCTAATTTGTGCATTTTTAGTAGAGATGGGGTTTCACCATATTGGCCAGGCTGGTCTCAAGCTCCTGACCTTGTGATCCGCCCACCTCGGTCTCCCAAAGTGTTGGGAATACAGGCGTGAGCTGTATTCAGAGTCACTTGGCCAACTCTGAATTTCTAGATCAAGGTTGAACTGATGTTCATCTTTGTACAAGTCACAGGGGGAAAAAGGGCAGACTTTATAGGTAATTACTGCAAATGAGATCACAAGAAACACATATAATCTACTTCAACAAGTTTTATCAAGCTCCAACCACTCATGTTCATTATCATGCTCCATCATAGCCATGGATAAGTAAAGAACTACAGGGAAAAAAACAACCTGTAATAGTGTGGTATAAACTACACATAAAATTGTTGAAGTAGAAAAATTTTTTTTTCAGAGAGTTTCGCTCTTGTTGCCCAGGCTGGAGTGCAATGGCGCGAACTCTGCCTCCCGGGTTCAACAGATTCTCCTGCCTCAGCCTCCCAAGTAGCTGGGATTACAGGCATGTGCCACTATGCCAGGCTAATTCTATATTTTTAGTAGAGACGGAGTTTCTCCATGTTAGTAGGCTGGTCTTGAACTCCCAAACTCAGGTGATCCGCCAATCTCGGCCTCGAAAATTGCTGGGATTACAGGCAAGAGCCACTGCCCCCGGCTGTAAATTTTTTTAAAAAGGAAGCATCACTGAGAGATTATTGTTTAAGAGTTAAATTTTTATATTGAGCCTCAAAGGCAATATTAAGAAATTATGTATTTTTAGAGTGCACTGGCTTACACACAAATAGAAAATCCTTACTTATTCATTAAAACAGGTTTCTTAGAGGGTGCACATGACCAGATTTTGTGAACCCGGTTGAACTAACTGTATTTGCTTAAAGGTAATAAAAGCTAAATTCTGTCTCAATTCTCCACATTGCTAACTCTCCATAAATGCACTGCATTTTTCAGTGCTTCTAACCAAAGTTCTAGGGGTTTCCCAGATAATCTTAAATAAGACCTTTCATTATGATCAAGATGCCACCTGTTTTCAAAAAATAAACTTTACTTTCTTCAGATGTTTTGTTTAAAATTTTCCAAGTTTAAGATATTTTAAAATCAGCCAGGCTCAGTGGCTCACGCCGGTATTCCCAGCGCTTTGGGAGGCCGAGGCAGGCAGGTAACAAGGTTAGGAGTTCGAGACCAGCCTGACCAACATGGTGAAACCCCATCTCTACTAAAAATACGAAAATCAGCCGGGCATGGTGGGGGGAACCTGTATTCCCAGCTACACGGGAGGCTTAGGCAGGAGAATCGCTTCAACCTGGGAGGCAGAGGTTGCAGTGAGCCAAGATCCTGCCATTGCCCTCCAGCCTGGGCAACAAGAGCAAAACTCTGTCTCGGGGGAAAAATATATATATATTTAAAATCACCAACGAAATTAAGTACTTGTTCCTCATATTACATTGCAAAGCTATTAACTTTCCAAGTTGAGCATAACAAACATCATCACACAACTTGTATCTGATATATAAAATACAGTAAGTATTGAAGATTTATCATATCGTAAACCACCTGCACCAGAAATAAAAATATCTCAAAATACACACAAATAATCTTAAAATTCTAGGATAATTTAGGGTGACACAAATACCGGAACCAATAGTTGGAATATGTGCAAAAGCCTATTCCATCTATCAGGAAGTAAATACGGAGTTGAAATTGAGTTAGAACCCTTCCACTTTTATTGTTGTCTTTGGTCATTCAAGTGACATTCAAACACAAAGTAAAATTCAAACACAAACACCATGATATATTTTATAAATCGAGTGAATTGTATTACAAAATTAGATAGTATGAAAGTCTATCTGTGGAAATATCACAAACAGAATACAAATCCAAAACCCACATAAACTGTTCATAAGTGAGCATTTTTTCAACAACCAACTTTTTGTAAATTGATCCATCTAATTCACCTTTGCCAACCAGGCCTTTAGGCCCAGAAGTAGGTGATTTGACATATATCTTCTATAAGCTGAAATACCATCTTGCAAGGGTCGAAATATAAAATAAAAAGGCCAGAAAAGATCAACGTACCCTCTTTAATAGAAAGTAAAGTATCAGGTAAAAGGCCTTTCCTTCCAGGAGAGATAGGCCATAACTATCCCGGGATGGTATGTGTAGCACAGTGCTCTGCCTAACAGAATTTACCATTAAAGCGGTGAATGCTACACTAAGAAGCATCATTAACAAATTTATTTTTAAAATAGGTATGAAGGTTCCAGTCATCACTATCACAGTTCGTTTTCAGCTATTTAAGGTCTGGCTGAAGTGTTTAAGACACCCACACACCCGCAAGGGAGGGAAAAACCACCACCCTGCTCCCGGGGAGTTTAATGAAAATTAACAGGTAAGAGAGGCCTTGGCAGCACGCTGGAAATCAAAGAGGGCTGCCGGAGGGCTTGGACTGCGGAGGAAAGCCTCGTCCTCCGACCCCACCTCCCCGCACCTTCCTGGCAGGGCGAAGGGGGCGAAAGGGGTGAAGGCGGCAAGGGTCTCATTACTGCCTTCATTAATTGACACCTGTAATGAGAAAACTTTCCGAGAGCCCAGAGCACCCGGGCCCGGCCGGGCCGGAGCTCCGCGGCGGCCGCCTCTCGGGCGCCCAGGTAACCCAGCCGGGTTGGGCCCGAGGCGCCGCGGCGGCCGCGCCACCGCGCACCTTCCCAGGGCGCTAGGCCCGCACGCCGCCCAGCCCGGCCGTCCCCTCCCGCAGGCCGCGGCAGCCCGGGGAAGCCAGAGAGCTGCGCGAGGACCCCAAACCGTGCACCCCGACAGGCCGCTACCGCGGCTACTTACTTTCATTTAACACCTCCACCAGGTCTGCGCAGTTCTCGCACATCGTTCGGCCGCCGCCCCCCCCCTCCCCCGCTTCGGATCACACTGACTGATCCCGACCGGCGGGGGGGAGGGGAGAGAGGCGGAGGAGGGGGCTGGCCGGCCGGCGGGGCGGGGAGGCGACGAGGGCGGGCGGCGGCGGGGACGGGGCGGGGAGCAAGAGAATGGGGGAGGGGGCCGGCGGTCCCCGCAGCGGGCGGGGGAAAGGAGGGGAGCGAGGGGAGGTGCGCAGGCCGGAGGGGCGCGGAGGCGCCGGCGGCGGGGAAGGAGGGGAAGGACGGGGGAAGGGGAGAGGGAGGGAGGGGGCGGGTGGGGAGAGAAGCAGCAGAGTCACTTCACCGACCAGACGCCGCGGCCACCGCCGACGCCGCCGCCATTTTAACAGAGCGCTCGGGCTGCGCTCGGCTCTTTCCGCCCGGGCTTAGGAGCGGCCGAGAGGCGCCGCGCGCTCTCATTCCTCCGCCTCCCTCCCTCCCTCGCCTCTTCTCCGCCCCCCACCTCTCCCTCCGCACACACGCTGCACGCTCCACACCCCGCCGTGACTGGCTCGCCGCCCTCCCTTTCCTCTTCCGTCCGGCCTCCCCGCCCTCGGTCCACCCCCTCCGCGCGCTCGCCCACCCCGCCCAGCCCGGATCTCTGTCAGCGGCCGGAAGGGAAACGCGAAGCCAGCGCGGCCGCGGGGGGAGTCCGGGTGAGTAAGAGAAGATGGCGGAGGCAACGAACGGGTAGCAGTTGCGCGGCGTCGCCCACCGCGACAAACTCCAGGGGCTCCGAGGCCCGGCGAGCGCCGGGTCACTCGTGCCGTCCTGTCCCCCGCCCCTGGGCTTCGCCATTTTTCCCCAGGGCAGGGTCAGGGAATTGGTGCGGGTTTCTTTGGTGTTCCCCCTCTTCCGCGCTCAGGCTTTTGGGGTGGGGGAAGCAGGGAGTCAACTGGAGTGCCGGGCCGGGCCTACTCCGTTGCTCTCTTTTGGGCGCAAGGGCCACTCCCCACGGGGTCTGAGAGTGCATCATCCCAGGGCCCCGCTTAACTGTATCGGTGATTATCGCTACCCTGATTACCTTGGAGGTCCTCCGTCCTGGAGCAGTAAGATCCTTGACGTAACTAGAAATGGCGGAGTAAAGAGTGTTTGCCTAACATCGCCTCGTTTTTACGGAAGAGGGCCCCTCACGATGTGCCCATCAGCTCCACCTGAAATAGCAAGTAATGCTTCTCAGCTGAGAGCGAATAACGAGGATATTAAGATAAAGAACAGGTGAAGGGGTCAGTCAACTGAAGTTTGTAAGGGAATTTTCCTCCCGCCCGCAATTACACCTTGCTTGCTAATTTTTGTGTCCAACGTGTTTACATAGACATCTGACTGCAAAGTCCGTAAGATTGTGTGCATAATCTCTGAATGATAACCAGGTGTCTATCAAGGCCCTGTAGTAATTCTGTTGATAGCTTTTGTGGAGGTTATGGCGCGCCCATCTCTCCATGCCAGAACCACCTGGTTCCAAATGCTTTACCTTTCAGCTGCTTGAAGTTGATACTGTAAACATTCTGCCCAACCTGTTTTAAGTTGTTTCCTACTAGCAGGTGATCCTTAGGATTGTAGATCTATTCTGCCATCATCTTCCTTCTTCCTTGTCTTTCTCACAGAGTTGGGTTTTTGCAGACTTAATTTGGATCCTGAGGTTGACATTCATTGTCCACTCAACATACATTCCCACCTATCCTTTTTTTCCTTCCCAACACAACCCCAAATATTTTTATTTATTTGGGTTTTTTTTTTTTTTTTTTTTGAGACAGAGTCTCACTCTGTCGCCCAGGTTAGAGTGCAGTGTTGCGATCACAGTTCACTACAGCCTCCATTTTCTGGGCTCAAGGGATCCTCCCACCTCCCTAGTAGCTGGGACTACAGGCGCTCTCCACCACACGTAGCTAATTGTTTTTTTATTTTTAGTAGGGATAGGGTCTTGCTCTGTTGTCCAGGCTGGTCTCAAACTCCTGGCCTCAATTGATCCTCCGGTCCAAAATGTTGGGATTACAGGTGTGAGCCAACTTGCTGGTCTCCCATTTTTTCAGGTAGCGGTTGAAACCAACCATCATGGTGATCTGACTTCTCTAGGGCTGGCCATACATTATTTGAGCTCTTCCTGATGAAAGGTAAGCAACAATACTGAGCAACAATGGGAGCCCTCTGTCTACAAAAATTTAAAAATTAGCCGGGTGCGTTGGCTCACGCCTGTAATTCCAGCACTTTAGGAAGCCAAGGTGAGCCAATCACCTGAGGTCGGGAGTTCGAGACCCGCCTGACCGACATGGAGAAAGCTCATCTCTACTAAAAATACAAAATTAGCCAGGCGTGGTGGCACATGCCTGTAATCCCAGCTACTCAGGAGGCTGAGGCAGGAGAATCGCTTGAACCCAGGAGTCAGAGGTTGCGGTGAGCCAAGATCGCGCCATTGCACTCCAGCCTGAGCAACAAGAGTGAAACTCCGTCTCAAAAAAAAAAAAAATGTTTTTATCTGGTAGTGGTGGCTCACGACTACAGTCACAACACTTTGGGAATCCAAGGCAGATGGATTGCTTGAGCCCAGGAGTTCTACATCAGCCTGGGCAGCATGGTAAAACTCCATCTCCAATAAATAAGAATATTAGCATGGTGCACACCTGTAATCCCAGCTACTGGGGAGGCTGAGGTGGGAGGATCACTAGAGCCTAGGAGATAGAGACTGCAGTGAGCTGTGATCATACCACTGCAGTCTAGCCTGGGTGACAGTGAGACCCTCTCTGGAAAAAAAAGAAATGTAAGCAGAAATCTGCAGGATGGGTTCTTTGGGAAGAATTCCCCTTTCCTGATACAATAAGGGACAAATTCAGCTAACATACCATTTAAACCTTCTTTCTGCCTGAAACGTGGTCTCGATACACAAAGTAATACCCATCTTGTAATTTTTTTAACAATTTTATCCCATTTGCAGTTTCATTGTTTAAAAAATTTGATTAAACAGGCCAGGCACAGTGGCTCACGCCTGTAATCCCAGCACTTTGGGAGGCTGAGGCAGGTGGATCACCTGAGGTCAGGAGTTCAAGACCAGCCTGACCAACATGGTGAAACCCTATCTGTACTAAAAATGCAAAAAATTATCCAGGTGTGGTGATGGGTGCCTGTAATCCCAGCTACTCGGGAGGCTGAGGCTACAGAATTACTTGAACCCAGGGAGTGGAGGGTTTTTTTTTGTTTGTTTGTTTGTGTTTTTTTGCAGTGAGCTGAGATTCTGCCATTGCATTCCAGCCTGGGCAACGAGCAAAAAAAAATCCATCTCAAAAAAAAGAAAAAAAAAAAATGATAAAACAGAATCATAATGTGTGGATCCCTGATGCATCTGAACAGCAGTCTATGCCCAGACTGCTTATGTGAGAAAAATAAAACTTATTTTTCTTGGCTGAGTGTGGTGGTTCACACCTGTATTCCCAGAACTTTGAGAGGTCAAGGAGGGCAGATCACTTGAGGTCAGGAGTTAGAGACTGGCCTGGCCAACTTAATGAAACCTGTTTCTACTAAAAATACAAAAATTAGACTGGGCATAGTGGCTCACACCTATAATCCCAGCACTTTGGGAGGCCGAGGTGGGCAGATCACGAGGTCAGGAGTTCAAGACCAGCCTGGCCAACATAGTGAAACCTTGTCTCTACTAAAACTACAAAAATTAGCTGGGCTTGGTGGCGCACGCCTATAGTCCCAGCTACTCAGGAGGCTGAGACAGGAGAATCACTTGAACCCGGGAGGCAGAGGTTGCGGTGAGCCAGGATCACACCACTGCACTCCAGCCTGGGGGACAGAGCGAGACTCCGTCTCAAAAAAAAAAAAAAAAAAATTAGCCGGACGTGGTAGAGGGCGCGTGTAATCCCAACCACTTGGGAGGCTGAGGCAGGAGAATCGCTGGAACCCGGGAGACGGAGGTTGCAGTGAGCTGCGGTTGCCATTGCACTCCAGCCTGGATAACAGAGCAAGACTCGTCAAAAAAGTTCTTTTTCTTTAAGCCATTTTTCAGATTTTCGTTACTTGTAACCAAACACATTTCTAACTGATACAGATACTCTTTTTTTCTTTTTTTTTTTTTTTTTTCTTTAAGACGGAGTCTCGCTCTGTCACCCAGGCTAGAGTGCAGTGGCACGATCTCAGCTCACTGCAACCTCTGCCTCCCGGGTTCACGCCATTCTCCTGCCTCATTCTCCCGAGTAGCTGGGACTACAGGTGCCGGCCACCATGCTCGGCTAATTTTTTGTATTTTTAGTAGAGACGGGGTTTCACCGTGTTAGCCAGGCGGGTCTTGAACTCCTGGCTTCAAGTGATCTACCCGTCTTGGCCTCCAAAAGTGCTGGGATTACAGGCAAGAGCCGCTGCACCTGGCTTGATAGAGATTTTTCTTTTTTTTTTTCTTTTTTTTTCTTTTTTTTTTGATGAAATCTCACTCTGTCACCCAGGCTGGAGTGCAGTGGCGTGGTCTCGGCTCACCGCAACCTCTACCTCCCAGGTTCAAGCGATTCTTCTGCCTCAGCCTCCCGAGTAGCTGGGACTACAGGCATGCACCACCACACCCCACTAATTTTTGTATTTTTAGTAGAGATGGGGTTTCACCATATTGGCCAGGCTAGTCTCGAACTCCTCACCTCGTGATCTGCCTGCCTCAGCCTCCCAAAGTGCTGGGATTACAGGGCGAAGTGGCTCATGCCTGTAATCCCAGCCCTTCGGGAGGTCGAGGCGGGCGGATCACCTGAGGTCAGAAGTTTAAGACAAGCCTGACCAATATGGAGAAACCCCGTCTCTACTAAAAATACAAAATTAGCTGGGCGTGGTGGCACATGACTGTAATCCCAGCTACTCGGGAGGCTGAGGCAGGAGAATCACTTGAACCCGGGAGGCGGAGGTTGTGGTAACCCGAGATCGTGCCGTTGCACTCCAGCCCGGGCAACAAGAGCAAAACTCTGTCTCAAAAAAAAAAAAAAACATACAGGACAGGCGAGGCACGGTGGCTCAGGCCTGTAATCCTAGCACTTTGGGAGGCTGAAGCTAGAGGATTGCTTGAACCCAAGGGTCTGAGAAAACCTGGGCAACATGGTGAAACCCGGTCTCTACAAAAAAATTTTACAAATTAGCCAGGCATGGTGGTACACACCTGTAGTCCCAGCTGTTTAAATTGGTGCAAAAGTAATTGCAGGTTTTTTTTTTAATTTTTTGTTTTTGAGATAGAGTCTTGCTCTGTTGCCCAGGCTGGAGTGCAGTAGCATGATCTCGGCTCACTGCAACCTCCACCTCCTGGGCTCAAGCAATTACCCTGCCTTACCCTCCTGAGTAGCTGGGATTACAAGTATGCGCTACCACGCCCAGCTAATTTTTTGTATTTTTAGTAGCGACAGGGTTTCGCCGTGTTAGCCAGGTTGGTCTCGATCTCCTGACCTCGTGATCCACCCGCCTCGGCATCCCGAAGTGCTTGGGATTACAGGCATGAACCACAGCGCTGAGCCAGTAGTTGCAGTTTTCGCCATTAAATACTTCAGATGCCGAGGTGGGAGGATCACCTGAGCCCAGGAGGTTGAGGCTGGGGTGAGCCATGATTGGGCCACTGCACTCCAGCCTGGGAGATAGAGTGAGACCCTGTCTCAAAAGAACGTGCAGAACTTGAGGCCGGGCACGGTGGCTCAAGCCTGTAATCCCAGCACTTTGGGAGGCTGAGACGGGCGGATCACTAGGTCAGGAGATCGAGACCATCCTGGCTAACACGGTGAAACCCTGTCTCTACTGAAAAATACAAAAAACTAGCCGGGCGAGGTGGTGGGCGTCTGTAGTCCCAGCTACTTGGGAGGCTGAGGCAGGAGAATGGCATAAAACCCGGGAGGTGGAGCTTGCAGTGAGCTGAGATCCGGCCACTGCACTCCAGCCTGGGCGACAGAGCGAGACTCTGTCTCAAAAAAAAAAAAAAGAACATGCAGAACAACTATTGTAGATGCATAGTAATATGGTGTGTTAAGGACACACTCTGATCCTTACAGAATTTTTTTTTAAGAATCTCTTGCGGCTGGGCGCTGTGACTCGTGCCTGTAATCCCAGCACTTTGGGAGGCCAAGGTGGGCGGATCACGAGGTCAGGAGATCGAGACCATCCTAGCTAACACGGTGAAACCCCATGTCTACTAAAAATACAAAAAATTAGCCGGGTGTGGTGGTGGACACCTGTAGTCCCAGCTACTTGGGAGGCAGAGGCAGGAGAATGGCGTGAACCCAGGAGGCGGGGCTTACAGTAAGTCCAGATTGTGCCACTGCACTCCAGCATGGGGGACAGAGCAAGACTCTCAAAAAAAAAAAAAAAAATCTCTTGCTTCTTAGGTTTTGTTTGTTTCTTTTTTTTTTGAGGCGGAGTCTTGCTCTGTCCCCCAGGCTGGAGTGCAGTGCCGCAATCTCTCTCTGCTCGCTGCAAGCTCTGTCTCCCGGTTTCACGCCGTTCTCCTGCCTCAGCCTCCCAAGTAGTTGGTACTACAGGCGCCCACCACCACACCCAGCTAATTTTTTGTATTTTTAGTAGAGACGGGGTTTCACCGTGTTAGCCAGGATGGTCTCGATCTCCTGACCTCGTGATCCGCCCACCTCGGCCTCCCAAAGTACTGGGATTACAGGCGTGAGCCACCGTGCCTGGCCGGTTTTGTTTCTTTAAAAACATACATGATGCTTAACATGCTTTGAGAATTTAGAGAATTGTTGTCATAAATGGTCATTGCTCTTCAATCATCTACATCAGAGCTCAATAAACTTTTTTTTTTTTTTTTGAGGCAAAGTCTCGCTCTGTTGCCAAGTCTGGAGTGCAGTGGCATGCTCTTGGCTCACTGTAACCTCCACCTCTTGGGCTCAAACACTTCTGCTTCAGCACGCCACCACACCCATGTAATTTTTGTATTTTTTGTAGAAATGGGTTTTCACCATGTTTCCCTGACTGGCCTCGAACTCTGGAGCTCAGGTGATCTGCCTGCCTTGGCCTTCCAAAGTGCTGGGATTACAGGGTTGAGCCACCATGCTCAGCCTCAACAGACTTTTTGTATAAAGTGCAAACAGTAAAGATTTTATACTTCGTAGATAATATGGGTCTCTTATCACAACTACTCTGTTAGCACAAAAGCAGATGTAGATAATAGGGGAATAAATGGCTATGTTTCAATAAAACCTTATTTATGGACTTTGAAATTTGTATAATTTTCATGTGTCTGTCATAAAATAATATTTTTCTTTAATTTTTTTCAACCATTTAAAATGTTAAAACCATTCTTAGCCCACAAGCCACACAAAACATATAGTAGACCAGAAGTAGCCTTTGGGCTGCAATTTACCAACCCCATATCTACTTCAATTGATTAACAGATAAGACAGAGGTGGTGGTTCGTGCCTGTAATACCAGCACTTTGGGAGGTTGTGGCAGGCAGATCATGAGGTCAGGAGTTCACAAGCAGCCTGGCCAACATAGTGAAACCCTATTTCTACTAAAAATACAAAAATTTGCCAGGCATGGTGGTGTGCGCCTGTAGTCCCAGCTCAGGAGGCTGAGGCAAGAGAATTGCTTAAACCTGGGAGGCGGAGGTTGTGGTGAGCCGAGATGTACCACTGCACTCCAGCCTGGGCAACAGCAATACTCCATCTCAAAAAAAAAAAAAAAGGCCGGGCGCGGTGGCTCAAGCCTGTAATCCCAGCACTTTGGGAGGCCGAGACGGGCGGATCACGAGGTCACGAGATCGAAACCATCCTGGCTAACACGGTGAAACCCCGTCTCTATTAAGAAATACAAAAAACTAGCCGGGCGAGGTGGCGGGCGCCTGTAGTCCCAGCTACTCGGGAGGCTGAGGCCGGAGAATGGCGTGAACCCGGGAGGCGGAGCTTGCAGTGAGCTGAGATCCGGCCACTGCACTCCAGCCTGGGCGACAGAGCGAGACTCCGTCTCAAAAAAAAAAAAAAAAAAAGATAAGGCACAGAAGCCAGTAGAAACAAGGTTTTTACTGCCTCCTAACTCTCGACTCTTCACTCTGCCATGCTGACTTAGTATATATATCAACAGGGACCTTTTAATGTTCTTGAAGAGTGTGCATTCCAAAAGAACAATGAAGCAGAATGTCTTACATTTTATAAATATCCCATCATTTCTTGTAAATTTGAATTTTCAAAACCATAATCAGCAATAATCATACTATCTTTGATAGCTTAAAGTTGACTGTTTTCAATATTTTGTTTGTATGTCATCATCTAGTGGTAGAACTAACCTCTGAATAAAAATAATGTACTATATGAAATTTCTAATTCTACAATTTGTAGTATGTTCCTAAGAACTTGTCTGAAAACCAGCCCCACATAAACAACTTTGGAAAATTACTATTTCCATAGAAATGATTTGTCCTCCTTAGTGTACTGGT